CGGGTCTGAAACTTGGCGGGTAAGACTTGATAGGCTAAAATTCAATATACCCAGAGGAAAAGCTCTAACTATGTTTCCGCTTATTCCAAGTTAGTTCATTCTGTTGGCAACACTTCAGTTTCCCTGGTAACAGAATTCCTATAATATTTTGCTACTAAACGTCCCTTAGCATCTTCGCAAAAATATATAAAAAAACAAGAACATTCAATCCTGATAATTGAAACTATATTGAACATCATAAATCTACAAAATTTGTCGCTGCAATTTGGTTTTACCGAACATTTTACAATATTATAATTTAACATTTCATAGCTTCATATAAACTCAAAGATACTTTATAATGACTAAATGCTGGAAAATAAAACTTATACTTTATACAGTATTTGGCATTTTCGGTAAAGTATTTTGAAATTGAAATACTGAAAAAGACTCTTAATAAGCTCTTCATATAAAACATAGCTGTAGATTATGGAAAACAGTTTTCTCGTGATACGTCACTTTTATATCAGTTACTTTTCTTTAACTTCGTTAGTTAATCTATAGTGTTTTAATCAAATGATGGCAAATCATTTTTAAACGTGTCATCTTTATGTGTCACCAGTTTTATAAACGCGTCAATGTTGGTTTCTTTGTGAAATTTCATGCTACTATCCGGGCTACAGATCGAAAGGTCTAACTATCCAGCCTGTAATATGCTACTGAACACACTTCGGAATTTCAGCTGTGGGCTTGTTACGAAAATGACAGTCATTCCCGCCATTTATTTAAAAGTAGCTTTGTAGGCGGCGAATGCTACTGATTGGGTTTCCACCATCTGGTCAGCAGTTTCTAAATTAAGAACAGCTGTGACTGAACCTTCGAGTCTTTGCCCTAGCTGTTTATTCTATATGTTACATAAGGCGCCGTTCAGGTTGAAAATACCAAACGTTATGATCCTAGACACTAGTGTTATATTATTACGGTTTACTGCTGATATCCCTATGGGGATTAGTTTTATCTTAGTACGTGGTAATGTTGTTATCCATCTATCTATTTTCATGTCGATGTCGTCAGGAACATCAGTGATATCATCCCCTTGCTTGTCCACAATTGATTGTAAAAGAAGGCAAGTTAATTAATTAATTGATTTGTATAATTAAATAAACTGAACAGTAATCTAGTTTATAGAGTTAATTTGTTTCTCGCTTTGTATTATTTAATCTAGTTGCTATACCTTGTTTATATTGAAGTTAACAGTTGACACGACGATTAAAAAACTGAGAGTTGACACTACGACTAAAAAACTGAGAGTTGACACTACGACTAAAAAACTGAGTGTCAACTCTCAGTTTTTAGTCGTCGTGTCAACTCTCAGTTTTTTAGTCGTCGTGTCAACTCTCAGTTTTTAGTCGTCGTGTCAACTCTCAGTTTTTTAGTCGTCGTGTCAACTCGACGACTAAAAAACTGAGAGTTGACACGACGACTAGCAAACTAGTTTGCTAGTCGTAGTGTCAACTCTCAGTTTGCTAGTCGTAGTGTCAACTCTCAACAGTTGAAACTACGACTAGCAAACTTAAACCAGCACTACGATTATATAGTTTCGGTTCACAATACAACTATAAGGCTTATCTGACACTAAGACTGTCAAACTTATAGTTGACACTATAATTAATTATATAGAACACAAACCATACTATAATTGCGTGTTTTATGTACATATTTTGATGCACTTAATCAGTGTTATACGTAACTTGTTATATAGGATCTAAGACGAGAACTGGTGATAGGCAGCAAGCCAATAAGTCCGCGAATTACTCATGTTATATTCTTCACAAAAAAACTTGTGGCCGCACCTTTTCTTGACTTTTCCTTTGCCGATATTTTTGATAAAAGAAACGAGCGGCAAAAGCCTCGACTTGTTTTTTGTTTTATCCCGCTTTTCTAAAGTGGACACAAGAGGCTTAATCTACTTTTCTCTCCAGACGTAACTGGTTCAATCAATCGAATAAAAAGGAACAAATCAACCTAGAATAAGCATATTGGAATTCTTGTTTATAAATAGAAAGAGAAAATAAAAGTGTAAATAAATAAATGTATGTTCTTGGGATATTATATTTGGAACAACTGTGATGACATTATGAAGACTCTTGTTCTCGCATTGTGCACAAAATATCATTTTCAATAATAAGTACTTTCAAAACCAACACAAAATTAAATCTAAGAATCAATGGGCTAGAGCTTTCGACTAAATATACGCTTTGCAACGCGCCTCCCAGTGGCACAGCCGTAAGTCTGTAGGTTTATAACACTAAAACCGGGTTTCGATATCCACGATGGGCAGAGCATAGACAGCCAATTATGTAGGTTTGCGCTTAACAACGAACAAACAAACGCAGTGCTCAAAAGACGACAATGATGCAATTGTCATGTAGTGGTGATAATTTCACAAATATATATAAATTCACTTTAGGAGTATTCTTGCGACTGAGAATGTTCTAGAAATATTCATTTTATGTAGTATTACAAAAGTCAAAATGGGTATATATATATATATTTTAAATAAGTCATCGAATTAACGATCTTTCTGTCTGTAATTATTAGCAAAATTGTCACCACATCTTATTAGCCAGGATAGTGTTGAAAAGTGTTTGTACATTTCTAAGCGCCCCAGTTCTCAGAATCTACCCCTTCTCTCCTCCCCCAGAAAGAAAGAGAGTGGGAAACGTCTCACTGTTTCGTTCTGAAATTATCATCATATTAATAAAATGTTATTATCAATATCAACAGAAAGTGAGTGGGAAACGTCTCACTGTTTCGTCCTGAAATTATCATCATATTAATAAAATGTTATTATCAATATAAACAGAAAGAGAAACACTAAAAGACAATCAGCGGTAGAATCATATTTTATGTTATGTTTGTGGAGTAATAATAATCTACGTAAAGGTAATTAATTGCCATTAAAACTTTATGTAAGATATTCGCCCTCTTGTCTTTTAGCGTCAGTAATCTCGGTAGCAGGGTTTGGTGACCAATAAATTATGTGATTCTTTTCCATTTCTCCCTTGCCTTTCATCAGTTGCCCAATTTCATACCATGTAATTAGCGTTTCATTGTTGGTTGTCAGGAGCTACTGGAGAGAACATCAATTCTTGGTAAGAGGTGATCGTGTGATTAATGAATAGTTTTCCCCTTTGCGCTGTAGAGTCGATATGAATCTTTTAGTGCTAGAGAAACTGATGTTATAAAATTAAATGGCACAAACAGGTTTTTTAATGTTTTCGTACATTTCTTGCCACGCTACTTAAATTATGAACCTCTAATAAAATTCTTATTTTTTAATTCACAAAATAAGATTAGCTATTCTAGTTTAAAACTAGTATGTTGTTTTATTTTGTATCCGCGCACGTTATATAAAGGACAACATACAGTAATGTTTAAACGTAATAAATAAAATCGAAATTCCAAAAATGTAGATATTTACAGATTAAAAAACTTTTCGAAATTGGAGTTTGATTATAATTTTAACCAATCCACGTTTTAATATTCCTTCACTGAAAGTAGGCGTTAAAATAAATAATATCTGATACATACATAACATAAGTCTTATAATTTGTATGGTTCTAGTTATGTTTTTGTCTTTAAGTGAGATTCAATTTATTAGAAGGTGACAAGTCATTTCAATAACACTAACTGAAAATATGTAAGTTCAATGACAATGAAAGAATTATTTTATCGTATTTCTACAGGATGTATTAATACTAGTGAGTAATGAATATTTCTCAAGGTGTGAATAATTAGCAAGGGTAATGTATAGTCGTTAAAAGTAACATGCGTCCAAAATGAGGTTAAAAAGTAAACATTTAACTTACAGAAAAGTGTAAAACTGACAAAAAATAGTGTATAACTATCAAGTGTACTGTGAAACTACCAAATATAGTATAGAGCTGCCAAATGTAATACAATGATGTTGTTAATCTACCAAAATTATTTTAGTTACCTAGTGCGAAACAGTTAGCTGTACTGTATAGCTACAGAGTGTAGTTTGAAAATACTAGATATAGTATATAACTGCCAAACGTAATTCAAAAGTACTAAAGCTATAGCACACACCAACAATAGTGTGAAATACTAAATGTATTACTACCAATAATAATATAACACTATCGAAGTTATTACTACCAATAATAGTATAACACTATCGAAGTTATTACTACCAACAATAGTATGAAGCTATCAAAGTTATTACTACCAACAATAGTATGAAACTATCAAAGTTATTACTACCAACAATAGTGTGAAATACTAAATTTATTACTAACAATAGTGCGAAACTACCAAAGTTATCGTAGTTACCAACGGAAGTGCAAAACTATGAAAAGTAATATGTAGCTACTAGAGGTAGTGTGAAACTACCAAAAATACAAACAACAAAAAATACTGTGTGACTACCAAGCACGATGTGAAACAACAAAAAATAGTAATTTGTTAATAAAAGTGGAATTAAACCATCGAAAATTGTATGAAATATTCATTTCTGTAACTTAAACGTCACTCTATGTCAAATTATTCGGTAATATTAAACACAACCACTCTCATTATAATACCACACAACTTTTGAAAGATATTAGTTTTAATTTTAAGTTAACTAAATATTCTAACGATCTTTGAAAGAGTCGAGTTTACATGTATCTTCCAATAATTCTGTTGAAAAAAATACATTCATAACTTATTAATGAAATTCGTACAACGTATTTTGTTCGTAAACAATGCTCTATTCAGCGGTAATTATGTTTTCTTATTCAGATAAAAATGTTAAATGAATCTCGTGAAATATATAATTTATAAGTGTTTATAACTTCAGAAGTTATTTTTTATTATTATTCTAATACATATTTGTAGATTTTTATATGTTTGATAAAAACATTATAATTATTTGTGTTTATTTTTTTTTCATTCCAGGTTACAGATATATTCAGCCAAAAAAAATCAACTTTAATAATAAAACACACACATCAATAATGGGAATAAGTACGGCCTTTCTTATTCTGATGGTAACGATTATGACTAGGTCCGAGGGTAAATGTCCAGTAGATTGTACGTGCCAGATTGTGACTAACCGTAAGACGGTGGCCTGCAATAAAGGAGGGATGACTGAAATCCCGATAAACTACATGGACTTAGATACACAAGTTCTAATAGTGACTTCTCCTCCAGAAAACCCCAACTTTTTGACCATTGGCCGAATCTTCCTGCATTTCTCTTACTTGGAGGAAGTTTACCTCACTAACTCTCATGTCCCAGCCATAGGAGACAGTTCTTTTTGGCCTGGAAGACGAATAAAGATATTGCAACTTAGTTCCAATAATATCACCCTATTACATGACCAGGACTTTAACGGACTCACCAATTTAGAGGTATTAGATATATCTGATAACAAAATCTTCGCCACTCCTTCTGCTCCTTTCAGATTTCTTACGAACTTAAAGTCGTTGTCCTTAGCAAGGAATCGCCTCAACAGGCTAGTTCCAAGGTTCTTTTACATGCTTAAAAAGTTGGAAAAACTTGATCTCAGTGGAAATCCTTTGAAAGAATTAGATCCAGAAAATCTCAAGGATCTTCGTCCTCTTAAAGTCTTACGTTTGGCAGACTGTGAGTTAATGTCCTTACACTCTCTGGTTTACCAACACCTTCCCAACATTCAAGAACTTGATCTTCGAAATAATAACTTCTTTTCTCTTGCTCCTGAAGAATTCCGACACCTTAAAAGCCTCCAAATTTTGCGTCTCGATGGTAACGTTTTAAGTGAAATCCGCGAAAAAACATTTGGAGGCCATAAATTCAAAATATTAGGGTTATCCAGAAACAATATCGTCAAGTTTCTGCCTTGTTCGTTTTGTAACACAAGCGTGAAAAATTTAGACGTAAGTCATAATCGCTTGTCATCTTTAACCACGGATGTGCTGGCTATGGTAAGTAACTCGCTGGAAACTTTTGATTTGGGGTTTAATCCCCTGGATATTTATACTGTGCTTACTACCGTGAGTGTTTTAACTCGACTGACGAATCTGTCGCTGGCTGGGATGAATATCGATAAGCTCCTTCCAGATACATTTAACAAAAATCCAGATTTACGATACTTAAACTTGTCCCACAACAGTATTCCAGGAATCCCAGATGAGTTTCTTCAGCCACTAGTTAACATAGAAATTCTTGATCTTTCACACAATAAGTTACAAGAACTGAGTTTCGAGATATTATCAACTTTAAACAACACTCTAAGCCTACAGAAGTTTGTCCTTCATTCCAATACGTGGCGCTGTCTTGAGTGTAACGTAGGTCCACTTCTAGAATATTTCAACCAGTCTGACTTGTACGAAAAAATCTGTCAGCATAAATCCGACTGTTTAAGATGTACCACGCCTCTCAAGTTGTTTGGAAGAGGATTGATGAGCCTGCATAAAGAAGAACTAGAACGGTGTGCTATATCCTTTCCCCAGTCGCACGTGGGAGCGAACGCCTCGAAAGTAGGAACAATCACTGCTGTGGTAATCATAATAATTTTAGTACTCATCATTATATCAGCGATTATGATCTACAAACGGCAAAGCGCCGATTACTACACGTATGAGCAAGAAAGGATGGAGGTTACTGCCTACGATAATATTGCAGTCGTCGATAAAAATGGAGGACTTCAAATGGATATGATCCAGGACAGCATTTCGTCGTCCAATACAAGATGTGAAGAAACTAGAGCGAAACATCAAGTGAACAGTATCACATGATTCCTCTCTTCTTTTTGTTTTACACAGAGTACAGTGATATTTCCGCATAGCTTGGATTATGAGGAGACATAGTTCGTCAGTGTCTGTTTATTGGCAACAAAAGGGATAGTAGCGAAAGAAAAAAAACCTGTTTGACGGAGAAAAAAACAAAAAGATAGCTATAAATTTTTTTTACCAGATCAGCGAGTGATTCACTGGTTATATCCGATATGGATTTAAAAGTGCGAAGTACAGTAACTCATAACGTAACCAGTCAATTAAATACTAACAGGAAATGGTCCGTCATTATATTATATTGTATAGAAATATTGAAATTTTGGTAAAAGGTATACTTTTATTGATTATTTCATTAATAATGAAATAATTCATTAATGAATTTGACCTTATAGCTTCGATATAACTCACATAACTATTGACTATATTTCCATATTTTGATTCATGTGGTCTCTCGAACTATAGAAGAAGTGACATCTTATAGCAGTCTTTTGGTTAGTAGTATTTAATTATATATATATATATATATATATACATGTATATGGTGAAGACATAAAACATTCCATAAAATTGTAGTTCTTGTCAAAGTTGCATTTATCTTTTATTGTATTTTTATATGTATGTAAATGTAACATGATTTTGTTTATTGCGCTAGACAGACATCTCAGGTAAATCTTTAACACAAAGAGTTTTAACTTAATAAAGTTGTAATCTGATCCGCCTTTAGTATATTTTATATTCACAAAACTTCCAGTTCTAATAAAAGCAGAACAGTTGAATCAACAGAAAAAAATTATGATCCCTTTTTTCGAAACATATATTTTTATTGTAAACAATCCCATCGCAAAACTGATGTAAAGTTTAGAGAAGTCAAACATGTGCGGAAAAAATAGGTAAATATAAAATATACTACTGAAGCTTCTGAAAATTTAGAGACCAACACAATATTTGTGTTCTCTTAAAGAATTATGTCATAAAATAAGTTAGTGCCAATATTGGCTTCTTAAGTTATATCAATTTACGTAATTAATAGATTCAGTTGACAATAACAATGTTCCAAATCTTAATTAGCTCTAAACAAACAATGTTGTTGTTTTTCTAAACAATATAGTTATTTCTAAATGAAAGAAGAAAATGTCAGCTAAAACACTAATGTATAGTAGTTCATAATAAACTGATTTTTATTTAGGAATTTCAATCCAAGAGCCGTATTCTGGTTTAGTTTTGCATTTTGTAAATTTATTAATAGTAATCGCAAAATAATTTTGGATTGTAGAAAAAAATGTCTTACGGTTCATTGTGATCTTTTATTTCATGAATGTATGTGATAGTGTCTATCTTTGTGATTCTAAAAGTTTTTGTTTTGTTTTTAGTGTTAGAATGCTCATGTGTGGCATTGTGGCTCAGTATGATATTTTGTAGGTCAAGGGCATAGTTTGAGTACCAACCGTTAGGATTTGTTTTTGACGCGCTTGTAGACTGGATTATGTCAAAATGGAACAAAAATCACGAGATATTTATGCACAAACCGGACTGAAGCCGTACCGCTGGAATTTGTTCTCGCTTATTACTTGTGTTATAGAGTGTTTAGTGGAGTGTAATAAGGGTGAACTTTGTATAATGGTTGAACTTCTCCTTATCAGAACCATTAAAAGCATCCGAAAACAAACCACCTCCAGTCTTCTCGTAGTATTTAATGGAACAGATGTTGTCTAACAAAGAATGTTATTCCTATATCAGAAGAAGGATCTGATAACAGTTCAAACTTGAAAGTCAGACATTGAGTGGTTTTTCTAAAGCTTCCTGTTCTTGTATAACTCGTGGGTATGCAAAACAGGTTCTGTAGAAATAGAATATTGCATCTTTCTCTACTACGTTTTTCTTCCACTATCATTGCAACTCTTACTCTTCGAAAAACGCTCCAAGTTGCTAAACCATTATGTTTTATTCAGTAGTTTAGGGTTCAAGTAGTCTTATCTCCGTTGTAGGGTTTAGAACATTTCCACACATGTTTAGAGTAAGCATGATCGCACGATATATTTTTCCTGAAATAATCCATGTCGACCATGGGTTTTGCATTTTATTAATCTTAAATTTTGTCTATATGAAGCTGGTTGTTCAATAAAACCATAAAAGAAATGACTCATTTTATTGCTGAAAAGAGAACAACATTTTATCCCCAATTTTTTACTTCTGTAACAAATGGTACACGAAGTTTCGTAAACCATAGATTTATGAATTAGAATATTTACCTTAAACCTACTATTTTTTACGATTCTTTCGGTTGTAAACTGTGATAAAAATATTCATTAATTAATTTTCTTGAGAAAAATTTCACTTGAAAAAATGTAACGCTACACATTTTAAAAGGTTTGTTATGAATTTCGCGCAAAGCTACACGAGGGCAATCTGCGCTAGTCGTCCATAATTTAGCATTGTAAGACTAGAGGGAAGGCAGCTAGTCATCACCACCCACCGCCAACTCTTGGTCTACTCTTTTACCAGCGAATAGTGGGATTGAACGTCATATTATACGTTTCTTTGTCTATTTAATATTTATGAGGAAGGATTGTTTTGTTCGGTAAAACTTTTTTATTAAAGTTTTGTTACACAGTTCAATTTCGGTTTAGGAAAAATAATTTGTAATCAATAAGGTGACTCGGAAAAAATCAAGAAATTACTAATCTGGACCAACAAAAGAAAATAGAATCTAAAACTAAAGAAAAAAAATGGAACGTATGTGTTATGCCTAATAGATATCATCAATATCTATAGTTGTCAAATATTTATTCTAGTTTTAGAAACAGGCCAAAAACTTCCTTCTTTTCGTAAACCATTCAGAGAAGAAAAAATCTTTTTTCCCGTCTTCGTTCGTTTGTTTTACTTTAGCAGGAAGCTATACAATGTGCTAAATGCGCTATTCCCGCCACAGGGATTGAACTTCGAATTTCCACGTTATAAGTCCTCAAGCTTACTGCTGAGTCATCGAGGGGTATATTAAATTGTTCGTATTGAAGTTCTTAATATTTTCCATAGATTATGTCGTACGTCTAAAATTTTAAAATAGACCACTTAATTTTTTTTTATTCTCAAAGGTCAGAAGTCTCGAAAAATGCTTAAATACTTAATCCATCATTTATTTAAATGCATACTTATTTATGGCCCAAAAAACCTGATTAGAAAAAACGCAGTGTAGCTACAACTCGTTATTCCATAAAAGTTTATTTAGTCATCTGAGAATGAATATTCTGCCTTTCATCCGAGTTTTTTCTTTGTTTGTTTGTTTCTTTTTACTAGTTAGTTAGTTCAGGAATAATATTTGCGACTCGGGTAATTAACAAGTGAGATTCGTAACATAAAAATCTGGACCTTTTACTCACGTGTATAATTATTCTTATTACTGTCTGACATTAATTACTGCCCCCCCCCCCAATGGCACAGCGGATTGTCTGTGGACTTACAACGCTAGAAACCGGATTTCGATACCCGTGGTGGGCAGAGCACAGATAGCCTATTGTGAAGCTTTGTGCATAAATTCAAAACAAACAAATAAACATTAGTTACTTACTCTGGAAACTAGCTGGAGGCCCGGCATGGCCAGATGGGGACGTTATAATGTGACGGTCAATGCCACTATTCGTTGGCAAAATAGTAGCCCAAGAGTTGGCAGTGGGTGATGATGACTAGCTGCCTTCCCTCTAGTCTTTCACTGGTGAATTAGGGACGGCTAGCACAGATAGCTCTTGTGCAGCTTTGTGCGAAATTCAAAACAAAGAAACAAGCAGGAGTACTTTACTTAATTTTAAACTGTTTTTGTATTCTTGGTATTTGTTTTTTTTGTTGTTGTTCTTTTTCTACAACCTTTTCAATTTCATACGCAAATAAAACGCTGGGGATCATGCGCTAACATTCAGGAAACATTGAGTAAATTTCATTTTTACTTTTCGGATTTTTTATTTCTTTTATTAATTCGGGATTTTTTTTTATAAAGTTCCATTCTTTAATTGTGATTAGGAAAAAACATGAAACATCCTCCCACCCCTTCTTTCGGTAACGGCCCGGCATGTCCAGGTGGTTAGGGCGCTCGATTCGCAATCTGCCGTGTGGGCGTTATAATGTGACGGTCAGTCCCACTGTTCGTTGGTAAAAGAGTAGCACGAGAGTTGACGGTGGGTGGTGATGACTAGCTAGCTGCCTTCCCTCTTGTCTTGCACTGCTAAATTAGGGACGGCTAGCGCAGATAACCCTCGTGTAGCTTTGCGCGAATTTCATCACAAACAAACCTTTCGGTACTTAGCGGTAAGCTTGCTGGCTTATAACGCTAACAACTGGGGGTTAGATAATTGCTTTAGCCACGGCGCAGGTAGCCCATTCTGTAGCCTTGCGCTATAAAACAAAGAAATCTACTGGAAGCTGCTTTAAAAGTCAGTAGTTGGAAGAATATTGATTCTAAAAAAAAAAATAATAATCAAACGGTTTTAAATACTTTTGTTTTGTTTTTGCACAAACTAAGTAGAAGTGAACATCCTTAATGGTGAATGTTTTTTTCCTATAAAACTACTTTACGTTGTGCTCGAAAACTAGAACCTTTAGAGTTTAGAAAAATAGCAGAAAGAAATTCAGTATTTTTTGATTATCTCAGAAAGACACCAGAGGCTGGAATTACCGTCTGTCGAACTTGTATTGTTCTCTGAAACTATTTTCTGGATTCTTCAAACGTTGTCACGTGATCAATAGACGCACATTTTATGTAACAAACTGATGATGTTGAAGAAAGTTTGTGCAACGAATTTATAGCTTCTAATTACTAGAAAAAGCCATTGTTTTATAATTATGAAGACATGTCACGACACTATCCAATATCAAACAATGTTAAATACAAAATAACAAAACAGTAGGTCGTAAATAACTATTTTATTTATCCAGAGAAAGTGGCCATTGACAAATACGATAATAATTTTTATGAAAGCCATATACATACACTCGGAAAATACAGAAAATTTGTAATATCGAAGAAAACATAGATAAAAAGATATAGTCCTTGTTTAAAAATATCCTGTTATAGGAAGTAATAAAAATGTTATTTGATTTCAAGGAAAAAACTGCATGTTTTTAAAAGTAAAACTTTCGTCCAATTCAATTAATATTCAAAAGAACTTTAAGTTTCAACCTCTTGCTATTTACTGTCATTTCTTGTAAGAAACATCACAGGTAAAACCAAAATTGGGAATTTGGTGGCTGAAATGGGGCTGGTGGTTACCATTCTTGGACT